CCCCAGCCCTGCTTCCCCTCTCTGATCCTACTGTAGCCATACTGGCCAGCTTCTTCATGTTTTTCAAATATACCAGATACAATCCTTCCTCATAGCCTTTGAGTTTGCTATTTACCCTAACGGGAATAAACTTAGCTCACTGCCTAATTTCTTACATATCTTTGCTCAAATGCCACTTTTTTTTTAAAGCAAGATGTTCTGAGGCCATTCTATTTAAAATTATAATACACTCCCCCTGCAAAATTATAATATGCATACTCTTGGCACACTCTCTCTTTTCTGGTTAATTTTCTAAATATATATTTCACTTGTTTTATCTATCTATCTATCTATCTATCTATCTATATCTGTGGTTCTGGGATTGAACCCAAGGATGCTTTACTACTGAGATACATTTCCAGCCCTTTTTATTTTGAGACAGAGTCTTGCTAAGTTGCCCAGGCTGGCCTCAAACTTGCCATCCTTCTCCTTCAGCCTCCTGAGTAGTTGGGATTATAGGCATGTGCTGCCATGACCAGCAAGAGTTCTAATTTTTAAATTTAGCTTCCTCATATCTCACAAATGGAAGAGGTCAGAGATAGAACTAAATATATTACTTAATCTAGATAATAGTACTACCTATTGATAAGAGTAATAGCAGCTCATTTGCTTTGAGGTGTTTTCTAAATTTGTACTTGTTCATCTAACTGCCCTCCCAAAACTTTATTATGATTTCTAACATTCACAAAAGCAGAAAAAAAATAGTATAATGAACTTCCTGAACCCATTACTAAACTTCAAAAGTATCCAACATTTGCCAGCTTGGTTTCCTTTATTCTCTTATCGTCTCTATCCTCCCATTAAATATTTCACCTAGCTGTTTTATTAAGAACAAGTCTATTAAGACATCCTCTGACCTTGTTGCTGCTGTATTATAAAACTACCAACCAACCTCTCTAGTCTTGCCAGAAGTAAAGCTAAAACAATAAATAAAATTAAAATTAAAAAGTAAAGCACCGGGGCTGGGGTTGTGGCTCCGTGGTAGAGCGCTTGCCTCGCACCTATGAGGCACAGGGTTCAATCCTCAGCACCACATAAAAAAATTAAATAAAATAAAGATATTGTGCCCATGTATAACTAAAAATATATTTTAAAAAAGCACCTATTCCCCCAGAAGAACAACGACTAAAAAAGTTATGGCTAAATTCCAGACTATCTAAATCAAAGGGCTCATCCATTATCATGCTTGGAAGGCTTTGGAGAAGTGGGTTGTGGCCACAAAACTTAGGCACAATCTGTTTTTACTTGTTTGCACTTGTTTGAACTTCTGAGTTAATTTAATCCAATAAGTATTTACTGATTATCTTCTAAATACGAGAGGCACTATTAAGATGCCAGAAGATAAAGAAAACCCAGCCTCTGTTCTAAATCACAGGGTGGCAAGAAAGAGCAGTACACAAATAACTAAAATATAAGGCAGATATGTTCTTTGCCTTAAGAAAGATGAAACAAACCAAGGGCAAAAATTCCTCTTTTTTAATCCACCCACAGAATTTGTAGCCCTCAGGACATACCCCCTGTCTGTATTTATTGCTGTACAGTCTGTAAATATGTTATAGGGGACCTGGGAATTTGGTGACCCACACAGAATAGACTTTGGGATGTAGATCTTTAATGTCACAGTTGCTACTCACCATCCAGCTTCTAGTGGGAGGGAAGTGGAAAGTTCTGCCAAGGGATTGGAAAACAATGGGGCTAATTCAATACCAGGGAGGCCGACACTCAAAGCATTCTACCCTGAGGGAACATACAGCTAGCAGCTTCATAAACAGGACAGGACAGTGGGAGTGTGTTCAGGAGACACGCTAGAGCTATTCTACAGGATTTCTCATGGTTCTCTCCTTGCTACCTAAAAGACCAAGATCTTGATGATCGACTATCAGAAGCCATCAAAAGTTGTCAGAGGAGGGTGGGAAAAATATATATATTTCCCACTTTGGGCAAACCAAAAAGGCAGATGAGGTTTTATGTGAAGAAAGGAGGACTGAGAGCAGAAGGGTTTCACAGGGCCCTGAGGTTAGATGTACAAGAGAGTGAAAAGGGCAGGATTGGGGTGGGAGGGAGATTTACACTATAATAAATTTGTTATCAAGATGGTGAGGAGAGGATTATTAGGGAGACAAAAAAGAGAATAGAAAGGAGAGCACTGTGAGAAAGACAGGGAGAGGGAAGGTGAAAGACAATTTCAGTTTGAAAAGGTGATCACTATGAAAATGAGGGAGGACACCATGAGACTGGGATACTGGACAGGGTGTGAAGGGAAAGGATTTTAGGATGGAAGACTATATACATTATGAAGGATGGGTTCACATTGGGATGGAAAGCGCTCATTTCACTGAAGCTGGGCATATCAGAAAGTCTCTAGATGAAAGTTCCATGGAATTGGATATGGCTAAGGATGGCACAAGTGGGGAGAGGAGGTAGAACATTGAGACTAAAAGCAGGAAGGGATCATAGGAAGAAAGACTGGGATACGAGTCTTAATATATATGGACACATGGATTTCTGGGGGTAAGAGACCTACCAGGATGAAGATTGGGGATAAAGCATCAGTGAGCTTGGAGACACCTCTGGGTGAGATCATGGGGTGAGGGCTGGGAACTCCAAGGACCTATAGCTGGGCAAAGGATGTGGAGAGGTATTCATGTTAATTAGGTTCAGGACATGCTACCCCAAAATATGGCAATTTGAGAAACTGTCTCACCTTCTCCTGGCTTTCCCTCCTGAAGCAAGTCATAAGAGCCTCATGTGATAGGTGTTTTCCCTAAACCCAAAGGACTGTCCTATTTTTGAAGGCACAGGGTCACAGAGAAGAATAAACAGGGCTTTCTGTTTCCCTGGTTTGTTACCATTAGATCACACTCTTTATCTACAACTTCCCATCTTTCATCAAAGGAAGCACAAAAATACAGGTTTAACTTTTTCTTTGGGTATGCATTTCCTTATTGAAGGTCCCGAGCCATGTAAAAAAGTTATACTAAATAAACTTGTATGCATTTCTCTTGTTAATCTTTTGTTATAGAGGCCTTAGTTATGAACCTAAAAGACATTTTCCCTTCCACATAAGGTACAAGGGTTTTATGGCAAAAGGGGCCAAAAGCCATGAACAATAGGAGGAGAAAGTCACCAAACTAGGGAGCAAAGGGTAATAGAAACCCTAGAGGACACAGAATGAGTTGATACTGAGTTTAAGAACTATAGATGAGAGCTCTATAATGGTGTAAGTGGGTTTTTTGAAGACTGGGTTTAAATCCCCATTCTGCTATTAGTGGTATGAGTTTCAGGTGTATTTCTTTAAAACCAAATCCCCCCAAAAAAGGAGAAGGGACAGGAAATGGTGAATATAATAATAATTACCTACTGGGCTTATTGATAGGTATATTTAACTTTTATATATACAAAGATTGGTAACAGTAGGTGCTCAATAAGCCAATTACTATTAAGGAAGTATAAGGGTTAAAAAAAAAGAACAGTAGTGAGAGGGACTTAGCAGAGATGAGAAGAGGATGGGGATTCCAAGATGTCAGGAGCAGTGCAAGGTATGGATTACATGGTCATTGCTGAACCCTTAGCACCCAGGACAGAGTAAGACCTATGGGTGCTCCTCAGTAAAAACAAGAACTTGGGCTGGGGATATAGCTCAGTTGGTAGAGTGCTTGCCTCACATGCACAGGGCCATGCGTTCAATCCCCAGCACCACAAAAAAACAAGAACTTACACATAAAGGTTACCCATGTGAGAGGCATGGTGCCAAGTGCATGTGTCGCTCAGTCACTAGTATCATCTTAGTAGAAGTGGACACTAAAGATTCAGACTAACTAAATGGTATGCCAAAAGTTCCATAGCTTAACTCCAGTTAGACCAGAACCTAGATTTATGACATCAATGCCCCAAGCTGAAGCTCTCAGCTATACTGCCTTATAAATAAGTCAACTAATTGGCCCTAATCAAGAGGAATGAGTATGGGCAATTAAGAGTGTACAGGGTCATGGGAACAAGGGGGAAGATTCATAAAGCAAGTGGACCATGGAGTGAGCTTGTAAGACCAAGCTTCTAGGGTAAGGGTACAGAAATGATTACAAACAATTATCTTCACTGAGAACTGCAGAATTACACAGTTGGAAGGAAACTCTGAGATCATCTAGCCCAACCTCATCACAATACTGAGGCCCAGAGGGAAGAAGGGACTTCTCCCAGGTTCCCAAAGCACAGCAGTGGCAGAATGGGGACTTGAACCAAGTCCACACACTCAATCCTGAATTTTCTGATGCCTCCAATTATTGCTACTTCATATTCATCTCTATATTCTCCTCACCACAACTGTGCTGGGACACTTGTAGGTCATGTGCTGATTGACACTGGAGGGCTGAGGGCGCAGAGAGGGTTGCCAGCAGGGTGATTTTAGGACGAAAGGAGAGCATGTAACTGAGAATCACGGGGTTACAGGGCAGACTGAAGGTTACGTAGATGAGTGGGTGGGAAATTATTGGTGTATGATTTTACAAGTGGTTACAGTGGTTTGAGAGGAGTCACTAAGTTTGTGGGGGAACACAGGGCAGTCTGGGGAAGGTTGGGGGTCACCAAGGAGGGATGTGGGGATCTTGGGGCCCTGTGAGTTACTGGGTTGGTGGGTCTCTGAGACGTACTGAGGTTAGCAGTATATGAATGAAGGGTCACCTGGTCAGGTTTGGGGTCAGTGGGTGGGGTGTGGGGTCACAGAGGTGGGAGGCGGGCACTGTCACTGGGTGGGGTTTGGGAGTCATGGGGGAGGAGTCGCAGGTGGGAATGGAGGGGCAGGGACCCTAGGTGGAGGAGGGGCCAGACCGCCGTCCAGTGGCCCGGCCGCCGGGTTAGGGCCGGAGGAGGGTGGGCACGACGGGCTCGGGATCTTCCCAGGGCCCTGCGCCCGCCCAGCCTCCCACCTTGGTCATGGTGGACCCAGTCTCCCCACAGCCACCAACCTGACAGCCCCCGAGGGCGACTCCGCCGACAGACCGCCATGCACCGGGCCCCGCCACCAGCGCCGGCCCCGCAACCCGCCTGCGCCATAGCCCGCCCGCCCGCGCGCGGCTTGCCTCGCGCGATATCCAGGTTCCAGGGCCGCCGCACTTTCCTCCGCTCTCGGCGCGCCTTTACCGGGCCCCGGAACCCGTATAGAAAATACAGGGCACGCTCCACCCCGCCCCCCCTCCGCCGCGGTGGCCGTCTACTTATCCCGGTTCCGGGGCCCCTGGAGCCCCGGCAACCCGGCTCCGAACCGAGGCCCTCGGAGCCCCGCCCGCACCGGCTAGGGTGACGCAGGCCTGCGGAGCCGAGCGCCCGGGGAGGGCGTGGTGACGTCACCACGCCGGGTCAGGGCCCCGGCGCGGCTCGGAGCCCACGGTCGCTATAGCCATCGGGTCTGCTACCTGGCCGCTCTAGGGCTCGGTCTACCTGAGGCCTGAGGCTGGAGCCGGGAGGGAGGCCTGGAGGGCTTCCCGCTCTCACGTCTCACGCGGCGTGCGGGCAAGACGGTGCGTGTCTGGAGTCGGTGGCGGCTAACGGCGGGCAGGTTGTAAGGGGGGTTCCCGCGGGTCTCCTGCCGGCACGGGGCTGCCTCCAGGCCCCGGCTGCGCGCCCTCAGCAAGAACCGCGCCCTACGGTCCTGGGGCGCTTGACGTGCGCAGTCCGCAGGCATTGCTTACTGAACCTTGGAGCCAACCCCCTAAAGGAACCAATTGCAGGTATTAATAGGTCGTTATCGAAAAGGACGACTTTGAGTGGTAAGGTATCTCCTTAGGCACCGTGCCTCGATGGCCCTCGGGTTGTCGCACTCCCATTCCTGGGTCAACTCCGCTCCCAGCCTCAACACCAGCTGCACCCCTGGTAGGCTTGCAGTGGGGTGAACAGAACCCAGCCCCTTTTGCTCTTTTGCCCTCCAAGCAAGGAGGGGATGCGAATCGGGCATTTTCGGAAACCTGAGGGAAAATGAAATGGAAGCGAGCTTTCCGTAAAGTGAGTAAGTGAATAAGTAAATAAGGAGGGTGGCGCACACCTGCAATCCTAGCTACTTGTAGGCTGAGGCTGGAGGACCGCAAGTTCGAGGCCAACCTTAGCAACTTAGCGAGACCTTGTCTCAAAATAGAAAATAGGTCTGGGGATGTAGTTCAGTGATAGAGCACCCAGGGTTCAACCCCCAGAACCAAAACAAAAACAACACAGAGGGGATTAAAGAACTGATAGCTTGCCACTTCAGAGTAACTGGGAGCCTGGAGGAATTATATATGTAGAGAATATATATCTATATCTCCTCAGGCTCTAAATGTTTGTGTTTTTTTTTTTTTAAACAAGACTGGGGTTTGAACACAAATCGCTCTACCGATAACCTATATTCCCAGACCTCCCCCCCCCCCCCCAGACAGGGACAGGTTGCTGAAGCTGGCCTCGAACTTGCGATCATCCTGCCTCAGCCTACCAAGTCATTAGAATTTCAGTAGGGCATGGTAAAAATAATTTTAAGTAAGTAAATTTGAAACATTTACAAAATATTGGGTTTGGGGCTTCTTAACAGTTAAAGATGCTTGGGGTAGGGGCACAGAGGTCCTGTTTAAACTTCCTCTTCTGTCTGAAGAACTTAACTGAAAAGCCTTCCCCTGTTCCTATCTTGTTTGTTTTGGCACAGCATTTCCAGAGGCGGAACTGGGACTAGAATTTTCACCATTTTCATGTCAGTGAGTGACAACTGATGGACCATTTCTATGGTTAATAATTAATCCTTTGTAGATTTCCTAGTATATAAAAAAAGAAATAGCCTGACCACTATGATGTCCTCTTTCTGTTCCTTTTTGTTGGAGGTTTGACAAGTGATTTTTCATAATACAGAGAGTATATAAGTAGCTCCTTTTTCAGCTTGGATTGTTGAGTAGAAATACAACGGGAATAGAACTAGAATGTATCCAAGTTTGTCCCCCACCACCTTCTTCCATATTAAAAATACATCTGTCCTTTGTTAGAGTCCTCGTAGAGCCTAATCTCTTGGCTGATTACCTCTCCCATCATATATTTAACAAAAAAACAGGATCTTCCCAGGGCCCTGCCTGAAGTAATGATTCTAATAATGAGAAATTTCAGGTCCTGAGGGGAACTGGCGTGGAAGATATTTTGGAGAAGAGTACTGAATATCATTTCTAGCAGTTCTGTTCCCCTAGCCACCGACAACATAGAGGGCTAGTGTTCCTCAGACATTTAAAAAAAATAGTTGGGCATGGTGGTGCACATCTGTAGAGAGCTCCTGGGTTCCACAAAAAACAATAACAACAAGAAAAAAATTCTCTAGCAGAAATTTTGTATGGTTCAATTCTCATATTCCTCATTCATTTCCCATAATTACTGTATTACTAAACTACATAAATAATTAAAATTTTTATTGAGGATACACCTCTTAATGAGAAATTTAGTGTTTCTACCCAAGTAGCTCAGGTATCATGGATGAATATTATTCAATGATAGGAAGATATAAGGTAAGACATCAATTCTCTCTCTCTCTCTTTTTTTAATAGACTTAGTGTTGAGAAACCTTGTTCACAAAATTGGAAAATGAAGAGATTTGTTACAATGATATTCCTCAAGTCTTTGAACTTCTAAATTGTATGCCAACAATCACAATGAGATCTATTATCAAATATTGTCAAAAATATTCCTTTAATTTTATTAAAAGCAATGAATTGGAAACCACCGATCTTGCAAAAGGACTTATTATCTAGTTATTAGAATCTCAGTTTTAGTTTATTAAAAATCATTTTATCTGTTAACCTTTTCACTTAGATAAATGTTGTTAAACATTTATCCAAACATTTAACCATTTAAACAACAACAAAAAGACAAAAACAGTAACAACAAAATACCTGCCATTTGTGTAATTGGCAAAACCAGTCTTCATTTCAAATTGGTCAATCAAATTAGACTTACTGTCTGTCAAGAAAACATCTGACTTTATTCTTTAATTTGAAAAAATGTGTTTATAATTATTTTGAATAATATTATAAAATTACTGGGAAATTATTAACTATTGCTTATAAAATAGGTTGCTCAAAATAGTCAATATTAAATTTATAGAGAGCTAATATTAACAAAAATGGTAAAAACAAAACAACACTGTTTCTCATATCATTTGGAATAATGCCATATAATATACAGCTATATCCATCAGTTTTGAGAAATGAGATATATCCCTTGGGTAAATGGGTGGGTCTGCTTGTGTCAAACTCTGATGTTCAACTTTTGGGAATAATGAATTAATCATGTCTAAAAACCAGAAATAACTGCAGTAATTTTATGAGACTTCATGATCCAACTTTTTCTTATGTGTTTAAAAAAAGATTTGCTAAGAATTAATGGACTGAAAAGCTAGCAAACAATTTCATTCTTTGCTAGTAGGAGATAGAATATAGTAAACATTTTGTAAGATGAAGCTGGGTGTGGTGATGCATGCCTGTGAGCCCAGCAGCTCAGGAAGCTGAGGCAGGAGGATTTGGAATTCAAAGCTAGCCTCAGAAACTTAGCAAGGCCTTCAGCACCTCAATGAGACCCTGTCTCAAAATACAGGGGGCTGGGGTGTGGCTCAGAGGTAGAGCGCTCGCCTAGCATGCGTGAGGCACTGGGTTTGATCCTCAGCACCACATAAATATAAAATAAAGATATTGTGTCCACCTATAACTAAAAAAAAAAAATTAATTGAAAAAATAAATAAATACAAAAAAGGGCCGGGGATATGGCTCAGTGTTTGAGTGCCCCAAGGTTCAATCCCCAGTAGCCCCCCAAAAAAAAGATGAAATAAGAGGAGGCCTGATTGTAATGAGAATATTTTGATAGGAAGGGGAAAACAACCCCTCCCTCCCAACTCTCCAGTTTTTATACCCTGGACCATGTATTCACTGGAGTATGCTTTTGCAGAGTGGAATAAGGACTATGGTGAAAACGTGTGCATGAATACGGTGACTGGCTCTCACGTTGGTTTTAGGAAAGATTTCATATGGAAGTTAAGATTTCACATGAAAAATTATTCCCTAAAAATTTTCCTCAGACCGATTTCCTTGCGCAGATATCACTTGTAAAGTCTTCGCATACCCTTGGAAACAATTCCTGTCTTCATGTACCCCACTTTAAAATCTTATCAGTATAGGCCGACCCATACTACAATGGCTATACCTTATTCTGGAGCACCAGTGCAAGTGTCCCAGGAAGTAAGAAGGAAGGCCTGGTGTTATTGAAGTAGGTTTATGGAGACATCAAAGAGGATGGCTCCAGGAGGGTACAGTGTGATGATCAGCTTTACAGTGAAAAATGTGATTTTGTCATCTCATACAAAGATTTTGTCACACTAAATCAGACTCATAGAAGGTTAACATTATAAATTAGAATGCCAGTGCATTTATACTCACAGCCACCAAGTGGACTAGATTCTTTCCTATTTTGGAAATCTATGTGGGAATGTAAGTTAGAAAGTTACATGAGCGTGGCTATTATTATCAAGCTATGGTAGTTATACACTCACTGTTTGGCATATAATAGTAGCTCAGCAATTGTGAAATGAACTCACAGGCTGGCCTCAAACTTGCAATTTTCCTGCCTCAGCCTCCCGAATAGCTGGGATTACAGGTGTGTGCCACCATACCCAGCTTCAGCAAGTCCTACTCTTAAATGGCTATATAATGTAAATATTAAATCCAGTAAAATTTCATATCATGGAGTTGTATATTTGCATTAATTTTATGTATCACTTCTAAGCTAGAAAATAAGATTGTTCATGTATAAAAAATTGGAGATTGCTTTCCCATGCCCTGTAGGAGTAGTGATGATGGAATGGCTAAATAATCTGTGTTTCAAAATTCCCTTTGGTGGCCAGAGTGTATTGTTGAACCAGGCACAGTGCCCCACACCCGTAATCCTAGAGACTCAGGAAGCTGAGGCAGGAGGATCACAGATTTAAGGCCAATCTCACGCAGCAACTTAGTGAAGCCAAAAAAAAAAAAAAAAAAAAAAAAGGACTAGGGATATATAGCAGCACAGTGTTGTAAAGCACCCTTGGGTTCAATCCTCAGTACCAAAAGCCAACCAAACAAACAAAAATAGACAATAACAAAACCACTGTTGAATGATGTTCTGTGCTAGAGGTGAGCTATCCTAACTAGGAAAGAGTCTGAGCCACCTGTGGCCTGGACAGCTTTTGTGGATTATATTGTGGTGAGAAGGAACAGTAGTCTAAAATTTCCCTCACTCCCTATATTCCCCCTCAGGAGATAACTGGTTTTTGTTTTTGCAATACTGGGGATTGAACCCAGGGATGCTCTACTACTGTACTACATCCCCAGGCCCTTTAAAAATTTTTGTTTTTAATTTTGAGACAGAACCTCACTAAGTTGCTGAGGCTGGCCTCAAACTTGCAATACTTCTGCCTCAGCATCTCAAATTGCTGGGATCACAGACATGCACCACTATGGCTGATAGGAGGTAATTCTTGATACTTTTAAAGATAGACAGGAGACAAGCCTATTTATATTCTAAAATCAATAGGAATAAGATAAAGACTTACCAAATTCGGGTAAGTCTTCTGTCAGAAGTTACTTTGTCTCCTCAAGCCTTTTTTTTTTTTTTTTTCAGTTTTTGGTGGACACAACATCTTTATTTTATTTTATGTGGTGCTGAGGATCGAACCCAGCGCCCCGTGTATGCCAGGCGAGCACGTTACCGCTTAAGCTACATCCCCAGCCCTCCTCAAGCCTTTTTCCAGCTCTAGAATAAGCTATTGAGATAGAGGAACAGATGCCAGGCTGAGGAGTTTCATTTAGTATTTTAATAATAATAAAAAAGACAGTACAAAATCCAAACATTTCTTTTTACAACTTCAGATACATATTTTTCCCCAAGTGCAAAATACTCTATGAACTGCATCATTTGCTGTTTATTGTTGATTGTGTAGGAGATGCTTTATCGGCAGCAGTGGAAGGCAGATATAAATACAATATTTTGAGATTTCTTCTGTATTAAAAAAAAGCCTCCCACATGATTATTAATGATTATTCTTTGAAACTTCAGTTCAGCTCACACAGAAGAACAAAGTTCTTAATTGTTCAAACTGCTACAATCTGTGTTGTCTAGATAAGCTGATAATAGAACTGGGTTTTATTCCATCTAATCATACAGTTTCTTAAAGGATTTCTAATCCAAATAATGGCCCAAAGACAGGGTATGCTACCTTTGAGACAGGTCAGATTTTAAAATATCCTTGCTGTTGCTTGCTTCCACTTTGCTCTTACTATATGTAAGAAAGAACATTTTCTGCTTATGGTCAGTATACTTTGTTTCCCTAGTTTAAGGCTGTCATATTGAGGTTAAGCAGCAAATATAAATATTTGAATGCTCCATAACGTTTTTTGACGTGTTGGGATACGACCAACCTCCTAATCACGTCCAGAGTCACCTCAAACATGCAATATGGACAACACAAAAGACCAGGACTATACTGCGAAACTTGCAGCAACAAATCTGAGTCTCTACCACCTCCAACTGCCAAACCAAAGCAATCACAGCTCAGTGTCAAGACTTTGGGATTTTTTAGGCCCAGGGTGCTCAAGTCCAGGTTTTGAGATATTTTCTCTAGACTCTGAGAATTCCCTCAGGCTTCGGGACGGGCCTGGCCTGGTAATACCCAGAGGCGGAGAAGTGAAGAGGAGCTGCAGCGCTGCTGAGGATCTAAGTGCTTTTCTGATACACATCACTTGGTGCTTGGAGCTCTCATCAAAATGGCTTCCCTTTGCCAGACGAAGATCAGGGCAGGCTTGGTACCAAGATGAATGAAGCTTCACAGTTCTGTGGCCCTATAAGCACCCCATCCTGCAGAGAGGCCTTTGGGTCACTTCATAAAGAATTCCTATGTACACTATCTCCCATGTTCTTCCACTGGTAAAAACCTCTTTAAATATCTGACCTGTAAAGCCCTAGAGAGTCCCTGAGTGTTGACTCCTCTTTAGGTCCACTTAATCCCTAGTTTGAGCCCCAGGGCTAGTTCGTTCCTCTCTAGTTTCAGCAGCAGCTTTGCCTGGATTCTTAATTCCCAACTTGGATGACCTAAATTAAATTTAGTGGACAATACCAAATCTTTACCTGACCACCAAGATCTGTCTTGATATCAGTTAAAGAGGCCTAGTGGTCTATACTTTCCATATTGTGGAACTCATTTGCAGGTCTCATAAACTATGAAATAAATGATTGGAAGAAGTGTGTTTATGTGTATGTATGATAGACAGGAAAGGAAGGGATCAAGGAGAAGCCAGATCCTGAAGACATAAATTGGAAAGCACCTTCACTGTTTGGCTTTCCAACAGAAGCAAAATGGTAGGAAAAGAATCAGAAAGTTATCCTAGCTTCTGGTGGAGAATTAGTATGGTCAAAGTTGATTCAAGTAGTTTTCATGGCACTTCCTGAGAAGTAAACATTCCTACTAAATGACCATTTCCTCTGAGTAGATGTAGCCATTTAACATCTTCACAATAGTCCTCTTAGACCCATCCCTACGGGCTGTGGTGTTGACTACTGATGTCAGGGGATCTAGTTGTGCCACTGGCCATCTACTGCTAAGGCTTGTTTGGCTAGTGAATGCTACTGATGAGGACTGTCAGGCTCCCTTTATTTAGTGTTGGGTCTCCTGGGGGAACAGTAGCCTGGGACAGTCATCTAGAACTGGACCAGAGGAGTTAATTGGTAGCCTTTAACTGACTAGGACTACAGCTTTGAGGGAACTAGAAAACAATTGAAAATAATTTTACAGGCCATGATTGGATTAAGGGTGGAGTGTGTGCAGGGTCTGGGCTTGGGCATAGATTTTATTCTTCATCCTTTTGAAAAACAGTAGTTTGAAACAGGCTTGAAGTCAACTCTAAGAGGGAAATGGCAAGGGTAACTCAGGAGCCTGACTCGGCCCCTTCCCTGGGATTTGTCCTGGTCCTCTTCCATGTACACACCAGGGCAAGACATGAAGACAGGGAAAGGATGGAGGTTTTCCCGACTTGGGGTAGAGAATCTCTGACCAATTCCATCGGCCTCTACAATCATGAGGTCCATGCTGAATCCATGGAGAGGTATAAAGACAGCAGGACTAGTTTAAAAAACATGTCCCTCTCCTTCCTGCTTCATCTAGTCCCCCAAATTACTATCCTACACATCAAATGCCTCCGAGCTATAGCCCTGGGTTAGCCCAGCTGAGGGCTCTAGAGGTCTGGGTGGCCACTAGTAGAACAGACAGATCAGATGCTCCAGGACTCAAGGTTCATGAGATTTAAAACTGATACTTTTCCACTCCAAACATACACTCCTCTCTCATGGGCAGCTATAAATAGGGTTTGCTCTAATAGAGGAAAGAGAAACAAAAACAGAAAACAAAATTCCTCCCTCTAGACAACACAGAAAGACTCAAAATGATTGCACTTATTAGATATGGACAGGGAGGGCAGGAGGCTCGCCAAGTGCACACATTCCTCTTGCTGCCCACAGCCTGAGGCCAGAGGTAGGTGGCTCCAGGCTGGCTGCAGAGTGGGGTCCTCTTTGGTGGAGCCCACAAGCCACCTGGGGCCACAAGGGAAAGACAACGATGGGGCAAGGCCCAGGCTGGCTCTGGTCAACAGCTCGATTTCTTTAAGTACAACACTTAGAAGGGGAGTAAGGCTCCCCCAGGGAGCACTTGGGCAGGCAAGGGTATGGCTGGGCCAGGGAGGACAAGTGAGAAAAGGGATTAGTGTTGGAGGCTGGCTTCCAATTGTGCTGTAGTCTAGTCCTTTACGTGATACAGATTCTTTTCTGTTTTCTTTTGGCAATGCTTTAAAACCTGCTTCCTGTCCTGCAGAGCTATAGTCTTTCTCTCAAGAGTCACAGCAGCACATCAAAACGTACTTGGTAATGCCTGCTGCTTCCCTCAGTCAGCCGGTGTCCACCAGCCCAGTGGTGTGGGCCATTTGTAAACGCTTATGGAGTCAACCCCAGTCAGACATGTAGGGGAAGAAAGAGGAGCTGTATAGACAAGAAAGCCAACTGTGTGGGTGGCCAGGGCTCCAACTGTGTGCCTCAGCAGACTGGTGCTGGCATTAAGTTGGTAGGTCAAAGGCTTCTTTGGCAGGACTCTGGGCTGTTAAAAGTCACCCTGGGGAACCCAGCCAGGGGACATTTTGGCTCCTGACTAGCAAGGCACAACCTTGTAATGGCAGAAGTCCCTCTTTCCCCTCCCCATTCTCTAGTAGACCCACTTCCTTAGTGGGCTTTTAGCACCCTTCCAAGCTGACCAGGGATGTAAGCTGGTAAAATGGGCAAGGGAGGGGGCAGTGCTGTCCCTTCGCCCCTCTGGGGAATACAGCCAGCACTGGATGGCTTTTCCAGTGACCATGTAGGAAGAGAGAAACCAGTAGTGAGTGAGAGAGAGAGAAGGAAACTAGAAAGAAAGGGAGAGTGCCTGGTCTGTATAGTGATACTTTCCTCCAAAAAGAGGAGAGAGTTCCTTGTCTGAGGGTAGGGGCTGCCGGCTCTGAGGGTTAAGGAGTCTGGGGGCTAAAAAACCTGGGTCTCTAGACTATAGGCACTATTTGTAGGGCCTCAGGAAGCTGGAAACTTTGGAGCGAAGCAGCTTGATGAAGGATTTTGGCAGCATCTCCTTGTGTTTCTCTGTGTACTTGAAGTAGTTCTGGGGGTGGGCCAGCACCTCAAAGAAGGCTTTGATGAGCTTCTTGTCCTGCAGAGGATGGTAGGTGGCAACGTGAGCCTCAGTGTCACGGGTGGGGAAGAAGAATAGCCAGCCTCAACTCGGCAGCCCCTCCCACATCTGATACATCTCACATTGAGCATCCAGAGGTGAGCTGCGGACTCCCTTCCCCACCATCTGCTGCTTTAGAATCCCCCAACTCAGTCAGTGGCAGCTCCAGCCTCAGTCTCCAATCAGTGGAACCGTCCTGATGCCTCTCTTTTGCTCACAACTTTGGCAAATCCTGTTGCCTCTACCTTCAAAATATCTAGGGTCTGACCGCTTCTCACCTTCCTAACTGGTCTCCTTGCTTTGACCCTCCTACCTTTGACCCTCCATAGACGGTTTTCCCCCACACTGACTTTGCGGGTGTTTGGTTGATCCTTTTCCTATTTGAAACACTTCTCTGGGTTGGTTGTTTTTGGGATGAGGGTCCCACTATATTGTCCAGACTGTTCTCAAACTCCTGGCTCAAGCTCCTAAGAAGCTGGGACTACAGGAGCACACCATCGCACCTGGCCAATTTTTTCTTTTCTCAGTGCTGGGGATCAAACCAAAGTCTTCCTGGATGCTAGGCATTTGCTCTACCACTGAGCTACACCCTTAGCCCCTCTGGCTTTTATCACTTGTGTAAAAGCCAAGTCCCTTCATAGTACATTGGCTACATGCGATCTGTGCCCCGCTCGTCCTCCTCTATTCTTCCTCACCATGTGGAGCCACACTGGCCTTCTTAGGTTCTTAAACATGCCAAACTTCTCCTTAGCTTGGAATATTCCTCCCTGGTCTTCTAATGGGTATTCCCTTGACCTCATTCAGGAGTCTCTTCTCCTCAGAGGCTTTTCCTGACTGCCCCCACCATCTGTGACATGTGTGGAGCCTGGTAAATGCCAGGCACTGGGCATTGGAACTCAGATGATCTGGCCCCTAGGCCGGTGCCCTTTCTACTACATTCACTGGTTTCTCTAACCACTTTGATCAGAATAGCTGTGCTACTTATGCACATACTTATACTATGGAACTGGTGTTCCATAGTATATCTGATTTGAAATAATGGTTCAGATGCATAAAGAATATTTGAAAAGTATTGCTAAAATTATACTCCTTGAAGTTTTTTCATCACAAGTTTTAGATTTTTCATATTTTATCTCAATGATAATATAAAATTATGTTACTAATAATACAAATTATGTTACTACTAATAAAGACAGAACTTTTTTGCAGTGATAACTCATGAAGCATGATTGTACAACTAGACTGTAGTAAGATGTTTTCAAATTTAGATCCCCTGACCCAAAATTTCTGGTCTATTCTTCAGTGTTGGAAATATTTCTTTTCCTGTACAGATACATAGGGGCTGGGGATGTGGCTCAGTGGTAGAGCAAAGGCCCTGGGTTCAATCCCTAGCATATGCACAAAAAAGATATCTGTCTATCTATGAATTGATCCTGACAGAGGTGTGCTAACCTGCTGCTTCTCTGTGGGAGTGGGGATGGTAAAGGGAGGAAGGGGCTTCTGTAAGAGCAATTAAGTACAGAAATAATTTTTCCTGTATCCTTGGTGGCAAAGATAGGAGATATTTCTTCTCTTAGCCTTCTCTTTATCTTCCACCTTTCCCCCTAGGTGTAATGGAGTCTGGGTGACAGTGTAGACAGCTTTCCCACAGGGCAGGTTGTTTAACTCTGTGCCTCGGTTTCCTCATTTGCAATGATGAAACCACCTACCTTGTAGAGCTATCGTGTGTATCAATTGCAAATATTCACATTGGCCCTTAGCATGTTGCCTGCGCACTGTCACATGCTCATTATGTTAGTCATCATTGTCAGTATTCACTTGCCTTTAAGATCTCCTGGTGGTTTTCAGAGGCATAGAGTCGGCCATCCCGCACAATGTCTTCTACCAGCTGCTCGTAGTCTTCTGCAAAGTTGATCAAGGGAGAGGGGCTGAAGGGTAGGAGCTCATTCTCCTTCCCTGGCTCCCTCCCAAGACCTATGAGCCTCTCCTTTCCTGCCCACCTCCCTGGCTCTCCTGCCATCACTCACCATCATAGGTAACATAGGGAATCTGGAAGCCACGGGCACTGTTGGCCTCACTTGTCTTAAAGTTGATCCAAAGCTTCCTGGACCGGGCGGTGAAGGCAATGGGGCGCTCATAGGTCTGGCAGGTCTCATAAGTGGTGATGGAGGATGGGGATGCTGGCAAGGCAAGGAGCAGGTCAGTGGAGCAGCAGGGCAGGCTACCCAAGCCCTGCTGGAATTAGGGCCATGGAGTTGTGGGCAGAATCAGAGGCTCCCACCCCTGAAAACACACACACACACACACACACACACACAGACATACACACACACACACAGCCATAACCCCACTCCCATTGCACCCTGAGTTCATTCCACAATGCCTATTTAAGTCCAGGCACTCACATAGAGTGTGTTTTTGTGTTTTGTTTTTAGTAGTATTAAGGATCAAACTCATGCAAGGCAAGCACTCTACTAATTTGCTCCACCCCCAGCCCTAATGTATGAAATTTGACATTTAAGTGAATGGATGGCAAAAATGCTAGGATTAGAAAATGACATAGGTAATAGCATTGGTGTTCTAGCCCCAGTGCTGGCTTTCTTTCTGTCTTTAATTTTTTTGGTATTGAAGATTGAACACAGAGGCACTTTACCACTGAGCTATATCCCTAGTCCTTTTTATTTTATTTATTTGTGGTGCTAGGGATTGAACCCAGGGCCTCGTGCATGCAAGGCAATCACTCTACCAACTGAGCTATATCCTCAGCCCTTATTTTTTATTTTGAGATAGGGTCTCGCTAAATTGCTTAGGACCTCTCTAATTTACCCGAACTTGTGATCCTCCTGCGTCAGCCTCCCTGGACTCTGGGACTCCAGGTGTGAACCAGCATGCCCGCTGGCTTTCTTAACTCTACTTTCCACCAAAGCTGCTATTTTCCTTTGTTAGTTCCTCTCCTTAAGGCTTCCCTCACAATTTTGCTCTCATGGGTCTCTAACTTTACTGCCCCACTTCTTCCTGTACCAAACTTGATTTCCCTCCCAGCCAGATTCAGACTTCCCTTCCCTGGCCCAGCTCTGTAGCCACCCACAGTTCTTTCTCATGACGAGGACGTCCCCACACTCGTCCTCAGATGGCAGGAAGATCTCAGGTACCACGATAAGGATCTTGCGCTTGGGTGGGGGGTTGATGTTCCAGATGCACTCCACGCCGGCTGGGTAGTTGCCCGGGTAGTTGGGGGACTCGATATAGCCAGTGAACTCACCTAGCTCCCCACCACACTGTCGATCTGCAGCCAAGCCCAGTGGATAGAGCGAGAAAGACAAAGGATGTCAGTGGGGAACCGGGTTGGGGATACTGAAGAGTACTGAGGTAGAAACAGACCCAGGGCAGCCTCATTCTAGTTCATCATCCACTTCCCATATTCTGGATCCACCATCCTTCCTGCCCTGCCAGTACCTTCTCACTTCACTTGTCTTTGCCTCCCTTTTACCTGTTTCTAGGGAAAGGATGCCACAGGGCTCAGCCTCGCAGCGGGCCTAGAGATCTGGGGGGATTGGAGAGGTGTGGAGAAGGGAACCTTCCTGTCCATCCACCCACAGCTCTGCTTCCTGTTGTTTACCCCTCCTTTCTTCCCCTGCCCATTGCTCCCAGGCCTCTACCCTCTTTCCCACAGCTGGCCTGCCACATACTCTTGCACTGGGTCACACTGGTAGAGCCATCAAAGTCAGTGCTGGTGTTTCCTGGACAGCGGGTGCAGAAGTTCTGACGGAAGTCAGGCTGATAGGAGCCCATGGGACAGCGGATACAACGATGGATGCTGGTGTTGTAGTAGTGCCCTGGGGAGCACTGGACTGCAGGCAAAGGGAAGGGGCAGGAATCAAGATGACAGGCACGGGGGTACTCTGGGTTGTAAGGTGGGCAGGTCCTATTGGTCATGGTGAATCAGGAGATTGAAGACTCCAGAGTTCTCCCGGGGTCTTAACCTTTCCAAGTCATACCAGAATTTAAGCCCAAAGGGAAAATAGTTTTACAGAATGGTTAGCTGCAGCACTAATCTTTTTTTTTTTTTTTCCAGAGACTGAGCATAGTGCTGAACTGATAGGGAAACTCATCCCAATGAGTGCCGGTGGGGAATCAGCCGCTAGTTCTCCAAAGCAAAAGGGAAAGTGTTCATTTTTTTGTGATCCTCAGACTTGGGCTGGTGGATGCCAGGATGGCTCCTGAGAGGGACAGTGTGGCTGGTCAGGCAGCAGGGCTGTTTCTGTTTGGGGGAAGGTGGTAGGGCAGCATACTCAGGTCTGCTCTGGGGACTTGGAGACAGTTTTTGAGTATTTGGGGTTGGGGCGTCCCCTAGGGGGGTAAGTAGCTTACTCACCCTTAGTTTCACAATCTTGGAAGGAGATGGCCCCCTCATGCTTGGTGGTGAGGCCCCCACCACATGGGAAGCACAGGGTCCGTCCTGCTTCAGGTTGGTAGGTGCCACGTGGGCATGGCTGGCAGGGCTTGAACCCATCCACAGAGTGTTGGCCAGGTGGGCACTGACCTGCAATGAACCAAGGGCCCAATTCTCATGGGGATGGTCCTTAGTCACCCATGGGGTCCCCCAGTCTCAGGGAACAGAGGCACACAAACAGAATGTCAACTAGGAGAATGGCCTGGAGCCTGGGCCTGCCCTTTGGGAAATCCCATGCCCATGGGCATCCCAGTGCCCACCCTAGCCCAATCTACATTGTTTGTTCCCCTGGCACCTGCACACGTGGTGATGTTGGTGGCTCCAAGAGGCCCGTGGGCATCACTGCCAGGGCAAAGGTCGCAGGAGAGCTGCCCTTCTCTCTCCTGGAAGGTGCCCGCTGGGCATGGCACACACTGCTCCGTCTGGCCGTGGTAATACGTTCCCTGCGGGCAGCTGACTGAGGGAGAGTCGGCCGTGCTAGCCCCCCACCCTCCATTTCCCACCCCCCAGGCCTAGGATTCCCTTTCCCGCTCCCCCAGATTTGAGGAGAATCTCTTTGCTAAGTAATAAACAGAATCCTTAGAGAGCTGGAGAGGTCAAATCCGTGTGCAGGAGAGTTGCTGGCCCTGCCTGGTGTCCTAGATTTTAGCTTGAGACTGGGGAAGGGAGGACGGTGGGCAGGAGGGTCTTAGCTGCCTCATAATTTGAGAAATGTACCTGAGGCTGTAAAGCTGGGCCTGCCCCACTCCCGTGCTCCCCAGCAAGTTCCCTTACCACACTTGGTCCCAGCACGATGCTGCCCAGGCCTGCAGACCTCCACCAGCTCTGCTCTCTCCCCCGATACCGGGCCTGGCTTGTGGGCTAGTTCATAGTCGAGGCCCGCTAGGCGCAGCAGGAAGCGGTCCTGGTTGATGGACTTTCTGAGCATCTTCAGGGATCCTTTCAATCGCCTTTCCATCCGCTGTCGAAGGCAAGGCAGCCCGCAGCCAGCTGGCGGTGGATGGTGCAAGTTGGAGAGCAAGAGAGAATGGCATAAACAGGAGGGCCGGGGAGAACAGGCTGGAGGTAGGAGGGCAAGGTTTGGGGACTAGTTCTGGACTTGTCATTACACGGGTTCTGCCCCTAGTACAGGCTGGTCCCTTCCTTTGGCTGGTGAGACCTGTGGTTTCCCCACCTCTGCCCTGCCCATAACAGTGTTCCCAGTCCCACCTGTAGTTTCTTCAGCTCTGACCTCTGCTTCCAGTTCTAGGGTGAGCCGGGTGACCTCCTTGCCTGGGGGGGTCCGGGCCCGCCGACCCTTGCCCTTCCGAGAGGAGTCACACTTGAGGTGAATGAAGGTGACCTGGCAGTCAGAGCAGGGGGCACCACCTGGGGGAGAAGTCTTGTCAACTCCAGAGGTGCCCTCTGGGGACAGGGAAAATTCTCCCTCCCAGTTCTCACCTCTACCCCAACCCAGACAGATGGTACCAGTAACTACAATTCTTAGTCTAGGATACTAGTTAGTTGGCGGAGGGGAATAGCCTGGGACTTCCTTAGGTCTTATGCCTACAATTGTTTTTTCCCCTGCTCTGTCCAGAGTTCAGGGTGCTGGTGGTTTTCTGGAAGAAATCTCACTAAGCAGAGGAGAGGAGGGGTGGGGAGAGTGGTGGCTAGAAAGCCCATTGAGGTGAGGTCCCCAGTCCAGACCTGGCCCCAGGATTCTGCCAGGCTCCTCCATTTTGCCTTTGTTTCGCAGGTGCAAACGGCATTTGGCGTCTTTGATCTTGAAGGAGGCCCGCTGCTTAACCGACAGCACTGCAGCCTCTAGAGGGATGGCAGAAGCTCAGTACAGCATAGGGGTCCCCCGGGGTGAGGGCTGCTGTGGAGGGTGTTACAGAGCTGGACACCAAACAGGGGACTTGTCTAGAGTAGGATTGTGAAAGCAATATGGGGATCAGTTGTTAGGGACAGAAGGAGTGAGGCAGCAGGGCTAGAGAATGACAAAGCCAAGAAGGAGACTCAGGAGAAAGTAATGAAGAGAAATAAAGGGTTGATACAGGAGGGGAGGGGAATAGAGCTTCCGGGCTGGTGCTCACCATGACAGTGGTTGGAGTTGGTGCTGTTTCCAGGGTGGCCAGCTCGGGCTGGCGCAGCCTTAGGACTGGGGGTACCACAGCTCACCGTGAAGCCATTCTCGGACTCTGAGAGAAGGGGCCCATCACCATTCTGATCTTCCCCCAAGACCCCTCTGGTTGGAAGAATCCCAGGGGAGCAGAAGAGCTGCTGGAAGGCCAACCTTTTCTCTCCCCACCTCCAGCCCTCCAGTACCTCCCTCCCATATACCTGGCAAAAACCGGGCCCGGGAGGGACAGGTCAGGGCACAGGTGTCCTTCTTGCCAGATCGGTTGCAGCTGAGCATGGCTTTTGAGGCCCCAGAACTGCCCTGACACTTCACTGGCTCTAGGAAGGGGAGAGAGGCCTGAGGAGACAGGTGCATTCCTCTCCCACCCTCTCCCTTAACTGTCTGATGTGGAAGAAGGGAATCAGCTACGTGCAGAACGCTGCTGTGTCCGTGGAGATTGATGAAGGCAGTATTTACCAGAAATTCATGTCTAACTCAGAGGGTTACATTCTCCACCCTCTTCCCCTTCACGCCTTCCCAGCCAGGTGCTCCGTTAAAAGACCTCAACTCTTCCCCGAAACTGCAATGCCAACTCCAGCCAGAAGATGGCGCTGCGCACCTGTGCAATCCTTGCCATTCCAGTGTAGTCGGCCCTGGCCTGCTGGACAGGTACACTGGTAACTGCCAGGAGTGTTGATGCAGCCAAATCGGCAGCCTCCCCCGTTGATGCTGCATTCATCCACGTCTGCGGGAAGAGTAGGAAGGCAGACAAATAAGGTGGGGGGCGGAGGAGGAGCTAGGGTGTGGGCAGTGAGTGAGGGCTTTGGAGAGGGCCTGGGGGTTCCTTGAGTTACGCAAGATGAGTAAATTCTAGAGAGCGACATAATAATACAATATTATGCCTATCATGAACAATACTGTTTAGTAGACATTTTAAAAAATATGTTAAATGTTTTCTTAAAATAAAAAGAATGTTTTAAGAGTTGTCTGACCTGAGGAGAGCTCAATCCTCCTCCCCTATCTCTGTCCCTAAAGGAACCATAAAGAAGGGGCGAAGTTGACCAGCTTTTTAAAGGCTTCCTTCCACTCCTACCTACCAGTGAGGCTGTTGTTTTGAAGCTGAGGGTGGAGGTCCAGAAACGGTGATGGAAATGGGAGGGAGGATGCTATTCTCTGATGCCCCACCTCCCTGCTGACCTTCAGAAGTTGTCTTAATTTCTCCCATTTCATCACAGTGGATGCAGACATGGCACATGCACCCAGGCTGCCCATGAGCCACAAGCCAGTGCAGAGCCTCAGTCACTTAATTGGAGGGTGAAAAGGCAAGAAAGGAAAGAGTGGGAGCGGGATGCAAGCTTGCTGGCTTACCTCCACAGTGGGTGACACCATATAGCAGGTAGCCACGGTGACAGAGACACTGGAAGCTTCCTGGTGTATTGACACACATGTGGTCACAGGTTCGATCAAAGGAGCATTCGTCTATATCTGGAAAAGCAAGGATATAATCTACTGAATCTGTCTTGGGGCACATGACACTGGCTCAGGTACAGGACCCGAGTGAGGGACCTTGGCTCTCCCCCTTGAGTTGAAACAGTCTACTCCTGGCCTGGCCATAGAGCAGTGACTGAGTGCTGCTGACCCATCCTCTTGGATGTCCCTTCTACTTGGAGACCTTGGAGTCTAGAACTCTTAAGTCTGGTGCCCATGGATCAGGGCCCATGAGTGGTTATGCAGGTCATACTCAACCAAGGACATGAACTGGGGTGAAATCTATCCCTCACTCCTCACCAACTGTGCATTCCACTAAGAAGCTGGTCCACCAAAAGGAGGGGTATGATTTGCCAATTTGTAGCATGATACAGAGACTGCAATGTCTGTTGAGCTTCTCCCACCCTATGAACCTCTCCTGTGGTTTTCACCTTGGCCCAAGTCTGCTCACCCTGGCAGTTCCTCTCATTGATGAGAAGCTTATAGCCCTTCTTGCAGCTGCATTCAAAGCTGCCTACTGTGTTGCGGCAGATGTGGTCACAGCCCCCGTTGTTCAAACGACACTCGTCTATGTCTGGGGAAGCAAGGCAAAATAGAACAAATGACAATGTTGAGGGCCGGGGTTGTAGCTCAGTGGTACAGCACCTGCCTAGCATGCATGAGGCACTAGCTTTGATCCTTGGCATCACATAAATAATTTTTTTTTTTTAAGACTATGTTGAAGGCTGGGAACAAGGAGACAAGATCCCTTCCTCACAGAGACAAGGAAAATCAAGGAGGTCCCTAGGCCTGCCCCTTTTGACTTGGATCACCCTCCTGTGTCCTCCTTATTCAGGGGATCTGAGGCTCTTAGTAACATCCTCTCTTCTGGGACTGAGTCTGGTATCCAGAATCAGGCAATCAAGGGAACTGCCTGGAGCAGGTGGGCATTTGACCAACAGACTAACCCATGCCCCTGAAGATGTTCCCAAGAAGGCTGGTGGGTAGGGTTATGCCATTCCTGTCCTCCAGCCCTGTCACAAGGGCACCGTCAAGAGCAGTGAGTGGGACCAAGGAGAGGTGCAGAGTCAAAAAGGACTCACTAGAAAGGAACAGCCTTTGGGGAGGAGGAGCTGGGAAAGAGGCCAGGCGGGGAGGACTTTCAGGAGAGCCAGTAAGGCTGGTAGTTGATGGGGGAGGGTGGGGGCCAGGCAGGGGGCTGGACTGAGAGAGGTCTGGAGAGACTCAGGCCTGAGGCAGCTTTCAGCACTAGAGAGGGAAAGGGGGGTGGGTGAGCAGCTTCCTTCCTGAGGTCAAGTTCCCCAAGCTGGTGGCAGACAGGACCCAGGCTACCCACCCCTCCTTGCGGGGGAGGGGGCAGGGAGGGCAGCCTTCCACTTCACTCTCAGCATACCTGTCAACAGTCCTTCCCAGCAGGAAACCTCTCAACTCTGGCTGGCTGACCTGCTGCCCCAGCCCACCCCCCTCCTCTCACAGCTGTTGGGCCAAAAGACACAAAGAAGGATCCCAGTACTCCTTCCAGTGCGACTCCGTGTGACTAGGGGACACAGACCTGATGAATGATTATTTTCAATATGGCTGCCTTCCCTTTTTCTCCTCCTGCTCCTATATCCTTCCCCAGGCCTGGCTAATTAAAAGAAGGGGAAGCAGAATGGACATTGTAGGAAATCATACTGTGATGACAACTACATAAAGTTCTTGCCATATTCCAAGCTCCATTTGTATAAAATAACTCATTTAATCCTCAAAACACATCTATGAGGAGAGTATATGGGGAAACCGAGGCACAGTACCATGAAGTGACCTGCCCAGGATCACAGCACTTGGAGGGGCAGAGCAAGGATCCCATCACAGTAGCCAGGCATCCGTGCGCCTAGCTGCTCACCTCTTCTCCCTTGGCCAGTACAGCCTTTCTAAGAGCCCAGATCACCTCCCTGGAGCCCCCTGAGAAGGTCCGAGGATGTGGGTTAAGATTATGAATACACCTGTGATCTCATGCACAGGTCTCAAATGTCCTTCCAGCCCAGGGACAAATGTGAATAGCTGGGACCCACAGGCTGGGGATGGGAGCAGGCAATAATGGGGGCAGAGGCGGAGGGCACTGAGGAACTGGCTGCACTTTTATGCCCCTTGAGCTGAGGTGGGAAATGTGGACAGGACACAACCTTTAGCTTTGTCCTGGGTTCCTTATAAGAAGGACATTGAGGAGGAGGGGCGGGTATGTCCCATAATAGCTTCTCTGGCACCAACCTCAGCCCCTTACCAAAGGTTTCCGTGCCTCTCGTCCTCTCGCAGCCCTTACCTTTGCAGGTCTTCCTATCTGGCTGCAGCATGAAGCCCACAGGACAGCTGCAGTGGACACCAGTCGCAGCATCGTGGCACTTACTGTCGCAGCCCCCGTTGTTGACAGCACAGGTCTCTGTTTAGGAGGGAGGTAGGGGTAGTAATGGGATTATTGGCCTAGAGTCCCAAACTCAGGATAGTGGAGAGCTCAGAGGCCAGAGGGTAAGCCTTGGCTGCCCCCCAACCCTGCGCTTTAGCAGGAGCACCCGGTGGAGGCTCCAGCCCCCTTCCTCCCATCACTCCCAACCCCCAGCCCCTCAAGTGCAGCCAAGCAGTCCACTTCCCTGCCCCCTACTTGATTGAAACAAGGTGGACAGCAGTGAGGCAGGTACAAGCCAGAGCTGTCAGGCAGGAATGTGCTGAGGGGTGAAGGAGGGGGGCAGGAGGGATGGGAGCTAAGCAGGGGGTGGTTCTAGCCACCAGGGAACAGAAGGTTTGGACAGGAATCTCCTCTTCCCTCTGAACCATCTCTTAGTGATGGGGCAGGGGTCATGGTGGACAATCTTACTATAGCTGGACTGCGAAGAGTGAGTGTGAGATTCCTAAGACAGTTAAGGGGTGCCCATCAATTCACCTCCTCTTGCTCCCCACCCAGCTGTCTTAAGAAAAAGACCCAGTTTCAGGACAGCCCAGCTTCCAAGGAGACAGCACATACTGGGCCATTTGCCTTCACCTCCTCCCAAGCCCTCCTTTTAGCTCCAGATGGACATCACTGGCTATTCTGGGGTGGTTTTACTTTCCTAATGGGGAAATAATGTGCAGGAGAGGATAGGGGACAAAAGGAGAAAAAGACCTCAGAGAAGAAAGGATGTGAAAAGGGAGGTGAAAGAATAAGAAAACCTCAGAGCTGGACAAAATCCCACCCCTATTCCACTAAGTGTCTTGCATTGCTCGCTCCTGGCTGGTGAGCTTTCCCTTTGCTGAGAGGCTGTGGGAGTGTGGATGGGGCACTCTTCCTTTTTTTCTGAATTCAGTGCAGGAGAAAAACAGGTTTAAACAGCAGTTTGGGAAAGTCAGGTGAGTCCAAGGAAAAACCATCAGTTCTAATAGTCAAAAGCCTGAGCCAGGGACTGAGGGGGTGTGTGGAGCCATCCTCTAGGTGCCTACAGTTCTCCCATTAGAGAATCCCAAGGCCTCTTCTAGGAGAGAGGAGAGTGGTTCGCAGAATTGGGGACTCATAAGAAAAGCACAGGGCAGTGCTGCTACCTTCTTGAATCTGACTCCAAACATTTGGGCCCCACCCTGTCACCAACAAGAACAGCAAGGCCAGGGCTCCAGGAGAAGCCAGCCTCTATCTGTGGGTCCATGGCCATGTCTTGGTCCTGCAAATGCCTATGACCAGGAGCAGCACAATGGGATCTCCTCTGTGTCATTCCCTCAAGGAACCTGGAGGAAACTTGAGTTCCGACTCCAAGCTCAGCCTTCTTTCCAAGAGTGCTCTTGGCATAGTGGCCCACTATCAGGGAGGGGGGACCACTGAAGGATCCAGGATGGGGGCAGCAGAGCTGTACGATGTCCATCCCAGACTAGACCAAGAGGGCTGTCTACCTCCACAGGATGGCATTGCTCAGAGCAGTATGGCGTAGCCTTACCTGTGGCTCTCCAGGTCACAAAACCACAAATTACCTGTGCTTACTCTGCACCCAGTGCTTACTAGATGCCGTACACACACACCATCTTGATCACCACTATTCTTTTATTTTACAGAGGAGTGAACTGAGGATCAGAGAGGAAGGAAGGCAGCTTGCCTGAGGTCACAGAGCTGGAAAGTGGCAGAGCCAGTATTCAGACTCACTCTGATTGAACTCTGATGCCAGGCTCTTAACCTTATGGAGCAGACAATAGTGAGTAATGCTGGGACTGTAAACCAGAGGCTAAGAACCCAAGACAGATGCCCCAAGAAGCAGATGGCATCTAATCCTACCACCCCTATCTCAAGGGGCATGGTGGGCATGATGGGTAAAATGGATCTGGATAGCTCTTTCCATAGTGAGAGGGAGGCAGGCAGATGGCTGGGAAGGAGGTGTGGTGTTGTTAGAAGATGACGGACGGGGGGGCAAGGAACACAAGAAGAAGGAGAGAAGGAGAGTGACGGAAACAGAGGAAGACAAGACCAACGTGAAGCTTCCTGGGCCAGTTCTTAAGGATTGGGGTTTCCTGTCACCTGACAGGCCCAGGACCCAGGCTGCCAGGGAACCTGCTGACAGCTGGGGCCCAGTTAGACTGGGCTCAATGGGCATGCAGTTAGTGGGAGCCCCAGCGGGTTAGCCCTTCCCCTAGCAAGCCAGTGAGAGCAAGCGGAGAGAGCAGACATATTTACCATTAGAAACGGCCTGAGCGGGGATGTGCTGCTCTAGCCGCCTTTCCCCTGTTTGACATTGTAAAAAAGCTGTTTAGATGGCGGGGCAGGAGCCACAGTGGGCCCCAGACCCCTTCCCACCCACTCCTCCACCCTATAAGCCCAAAACTCTGGCCCTGGATGGTGAGCTCTGAGGCCCCCCTATGATAGCCTCAGTTCTCAGCCTTGTCCTGCCTGGGATCCTCAACAAAGCCACGCTCCCACCAAATGACTAGAAAACTGAGACACTGAGTCTCAAATAGGGGCAACTGTGGGCCCAACACCATGTGGCATGCCAAAGGCAAAGCTGGCATGCAGCATCAAATCTTAGAGCGAAACCCCAAATCCCAAAGGGTTCCCAGCCTTTCTGCTCAACTTGGCTGCCCTCTCAGTCTCCCCATCAAAGCTGAATATCCTGATGGCCCCAGACAATGACATTTCCTCCTACGAAGGCTGGTTAGAAACATGAGATACCGGGCAAGGTAAATAAGTTCTAGTGGAGCAGAGGAAGAGGGACTAGGAAAGAACACAACTGAAAACCCTAGAACAGCTTCGTTTGCTCTCTTCTGTTTCACTTGGCCATGGCCCAGATGGTGGAGTGGATCTTGGATTAGAGAGGAGCTCAAGCTTAATAAGGGTATTTTCAAAAGCAGCCATGTCCAGGACTATCTGAAGTGAAAGAAACAGAGAGATCCAGAATTCATATGCAGGGGCCCTGAACTCTGACCCATATCTTTTTTTTAGGAACTGCATGCAGTTTCTTTTGGGAGACTCTGGGGATGTGGGGATTTGTGGATGTATCCAGGGGTGGTGGAAGGTTTAGAAAATAGAAGAATTAGACCTATGGGAGGAGAATACATAAGGAGCTAGAACAGGCCAGAAAACACAACATTGATACCTAAACATGTTTTAGGGATTTTGGAGAGTTGATTGAGAGGGAAACATGTGACAGGAGAGTTTTCAATTACAGAAGCACTTTAGGACTGTGCGTGCAAGTCTCTGCTGCAGATGCCTGAGGGAACCCTGTGAGGACCATCTGCTCCCCTGTGAAGAGGACAGGTGTCTGGAGTGGGGTGGGGGAAAGTCTGGTTCTTAAGCTGAATGTCACATCTCTGACATACATGACTTCACACAGCGGAGTTGTGTTCACACCTCCCCTCCCCAGCCTGCTGCTGTAGCCCACCAATGCACAGCCCCCCATAAACACCCTATGCCCACAGAGCGAGCTCACCCCTGCCTGGCTCGGGACCCAGCCAAAGCGCTTCCCTATCATCTGGCACTTCTCCAAGTGAACACCTCTCCTGTCATCTTGTCAACACTAAAGTGTAGGGGGATTAAGAGTTAATTTTAAGGAACTAAGTTCATCTAGGTACCTGGAGATACATAAAGTAGGGCCTGGGAGTTCAGGAAGAGAGATTCAGGCATTAAAAGGGCCCTGAGGGACAGGGTACAGCTCAGCAGTAAAGTACTTGTCTAGACATGCACTAGGCCCTGGGCTTGATCTCCAGCATCACAAACAAACAAAAAACCCTCAAATCAGGGCTAGGGTTGTGGCTCCGCAGTAGAGCGCTCGCCTAGCGTGTGCAAGGCCCTGGGTTCGATCCTTAGCACCACATAAAGATAAATAAATAAAACAAAGATATTGTGTCCAACTACAACCAAAAAAACAAACAAACAAAAAAAAACCTCAAACCAGGGCGGGAGAGATTGAAGGCCCAACTGGGTAAGGAGTGGGAGGGCTACAGGCAGAGCTGAGAGGGGTGATGTTGGAAACCAGAAGAGAAGGAAAACAGAGTGAGGCAGTCGGCGAGGGGAGCAGAGAGGGTATTTGCAGGAGTGAGGAGACAAAGGATAAAGAGGAAGAAGACACCTGCGCTAGGAAACCCCATTAGTCAGCCCAGGGCTGGGAGGCTTTGATAGCTCCATCTCACCACGCTTCCAACAGGCCCTCTGGTTAGGCCTAATCAGCGGATTCCCCATTTCCTCTCCTTTCTCTATCATATCCTGGGCCAACAAGCACCTCTGCTAAGGAGTCCCAGTTTGGCGATACTTTATCTGGGAGGAAGGGGGTAATGAGGCTCCGGGGAGGGTGGTGGAACCAGTGGGTTAGGGAGGGGAGAGGATCACATGAGCCCTTCACTGAGTTGTTCCCTCACTAGACCTGGCATTGCTGGCCTTCATTCCCTCCCCAGTCACTCTGTGTCCACTCTGTACTCCCCCACTCTCTGGTTCCCACGGGCTCCCACACCCCCCATCACAGTAGACTGTTCCTCCCCTGGCCTCACCCACCGATGCATGTCTTCCCGTCGGTATGGAGCACAAACTTGACATGGCAGCCGCACCGGGGACCCTGCTCTGTGTCATCGCATGTGTGCTGGCAGCCACCATTACCATAGTTGCATGTCACTGTGCACAAAGAGGGAAGGAAACCCATCAGCTTGCTTCTCTCTGGGTACCACAGTTCTCCACAACACGGGAACCTGTCCCCTTTTCAATTTCTCTCTCCCATATTCCCTGCTGATGAGGCCGCACACCCTCCTCTTTTGGTTTCCTCTTCCCCCCACCCCCATCCTAATCATCTTACATTTACAGTCCCGCTGGTTCTTGGTGAGCTCAAAGCCAGGGCGGCATTCACAGGCGATACCCCCCTTGGGGGTCTCCCGGCAAATGTGGGCACAGCCATGGTTCTTGTTCATGCAGTTCATTCCTTCTAAAAAGGAAGAGGAGAGGGGTGAATGCTCTGTACCCTTGGATGTCTAGACAGGATGAAACTGAAAGGAGCCTTGGGGGCTAGGAGATTAGGAGGGTTCCCCTGACGTTGCAACACAGAAAGGACCGCCTCTACTCCTGAGCCTCCTGTCCTGCCCACAGAGCCCTGGTGCTAAGGAGCAGAGCCGAGCCGTTCTGAATAATGTGTGAAAGCTATTGAAAGCCACCCCAGAGACACCTATGTGATCACCTTGTCTTTCAAACAGCCAAAACAGTGTCTAACAGTTGTCTGGCATGGTGCCAGAGACTCAGGGGATTTAAGAAGCACCTAGAAAAACTAAGATAAGATCTTTTCCCTCAAAAGGGCTTACATTAAAACTGGGAAGAAGATAAATAATAATCAGATCTAAAATGTGAATGGGAAGTAACTGGTAGAGAAAATTACTATGCCACAAACATTTATTAATATCCTACTACATGCAGGGCAGTATGGGATACAAAGATGAATCAGACATGGTTCCTGCCCTCAGGATATCCCAGACCAGTGGGAAATGAGCCACAGAAGTAGACAACATATATCCCACTCTGTGTTGCCCCTCTCAGTCCAGGCCAAGGAAGAGGCTTTGGTGAGGCCCTTATACATGAGTAGCAGCTTAGAGAAACCTGAATGCCTACAGTTAGAAATAACAACCACCTCAGGTCTGATCCTAAGCTGACCCCAAAATAGCCTCAATCTCATACTGATGCCAGCCCCAAATTAATTCCCCCAGAATTTTTCTCTAATACCAGTATCTGTCCATGGAGCCCTTGGGTATGACCGAGTTGAGGGACAAAGAAGAAGGAGCTGGCAGAGTTGAGAAGGGTGGGTAGACAGACCCAGAGGGTGGGCAGAGGTTGGCCCTCCTGGGTCAGGCATGGGCTGACCTTCTGGTCGCTGGATGCAGGTGTGCTGGTTGTCGCTGAGGAAGAAGCCTTCTCGGCAGTGACACTCATAGCTGCCCATCATGTTGACACAGCTCTGCTGACAACCACCATTGCCCTCAGCACACTCATCCACATCTAGGCAAGAAAGGTAATCAGTGGGGCCACGGAATGCAAGCCAGGGTCTGGGTGTGCCCCTGGACTTCAGCACCAAGGATTGAGCACAGTCTTAGGAACCCAATCCCACCCTCTCAATTCGCCCAGCCTTGGGCCAGACAATTCTCACCCCCTTGACAGCTTATGTTCCAGAGTGTGAAGAGCCTCTCTAAGAGGACAGAGCTGGAAGGAACTAAGGGAATGTGTGGGGTGGGAGGAACTGACCTGGGCTCACTGAGGCCCAGACTAGGCTCCCTCACCTTCACTACGGAAACGGTCTGAGGGCGGGGAAGGAGCCAGAGCAAGAGGAACAGTGATAAAGGATGAAGTCTGGTCACATTGGTCAGGGAGAGGTAACCAGACGTAGTAGCTGGTCATGAGGAGCAGCCATAGAATTGGGGAACCTGGAAATAGCTCTGTGTTCAGGAAGAGCTACGGCCATGGTGCTGAGGTTGGAGGGACAGAGTGGGGAAAGGCGGCTGAGCCTCAACTCCTTGTGGGGTGGGGATCATTTATGTGGACATGCCACAGCCCCGTCCTTTCTCCCCTCCTCCATGCCTGGGCTTGCTGCCATATTCCTTAGCCTTTCTCCTATTTTGGTTTAACAAAACAAAAGTCTGGCAGTTTGGCAGGGAAGGATGGTGGGGGAGAGCCGCCAGGCCGCACCCTAGATGGTGGAAGGGGAACAGTAGGCTCTCACCCCCAAATCCCCACCCATGGTCCTAGATCCAGGCTCTTCCTGGGGCACCCACTTCAACACCGTGACTCCATGTCTATGCTAGCTACTGCCTCCCAACTCCACAGCCCTTCTTAGTTTGCCTTGGTCCAGGAAACATCAGGGAGATTGGGTGCCAAATAGAGCAGCTAGAATCTGAGCTCCTGAGGATGTCATCTGTCCTTCTAATTCTCTCTCCCTGGGCCCTGAAATCCTCCCTTCTCCTTCTGGCCAAGGACAGAGGGACTCAGATCCAGCTGGCTCTTGTCTGAGCGATGTACCTGTTGGAAAAGCTAAGGAGGTATACTTTGCTTTGCTTTGTCCCTGTTTCTGTCCCATCTCTTGCTACATCCCATCCCTCTCTTCCTGATCTTGCCCCATCCTACATTCTGTGCTGTGTGCTCCCTTCTATTCCAACCTGTGGCTTTGTTACTTTAGCCAAGTTCTATTTCTCTTTGGGGAAACTGAGGCCTAGGACATGGACATCTTTCCCGAGTTTCCCTAAGAGTCAAAGGTAGAGTTGTAACTTATGTAATCTTAAATAGACCTTTGCTCCTCTAACTCTTTCCATACCTACTCACTCTCTTGTCCCTCTGGTTGGTTCCCCCCAAAATACTTATAAGGAAATGAGACTTGGTAAGAATCAGGGGCTTAGAAAGGTTAAAGGGAGCAGAGCACTCAGAAGCTGATGTTCACAGTCCGGTAGGTGCCTCCCTGTCCTCCCTAAATGTCACAGCTTCCTTTCTCAAAGGAGTCCCAAAGAAGTTCCTCAGGGTGATTGGGCAGAGGAGAAAGGAGGCCCTTTCCTGAGAGATGAAGTTAGAGGAGAGGGGATCTGGTTGGAGAAGGACTCCCCAGCGCCCTGCGTCTGGAGGCCTGGGTGGGAGGAGACATCCAGAGCCTGGGTGTGAGGGTGGCTATGCTGGCTGAGACAGCTCCATAGTGCAGAGGCTCCCCAGGCCCAGGACCTCGACATCCATCTGTTGGATCAGTTGGAGGGGCCCAGTTCAGACTGCTTTTCTGGGCACCAATCTTCTTGCTTCTCTTCTCTTCCTGTTCCTCTATGCTTCCAGTGCCCTGTTTCTGACTTGGCACCAGAGAGAGAGAATTTGGGAGAAGACCCCTGGGTTCAGATCTCAAATTCTTTTATGCTCTCGTCTTCAGAGTTTTATTTGGGAAAGAATCTTAACTTGGTCCCAGTAACTTTTTGAAATGACAGGGACAGAATTGGAGTTCAGTTCCCTAGAGATTCTCTCTCTGATCCTGCTCCTGAACAAGGAGATCAGGTCAGATGGAGGTCTCAGCAGTGAGGACAGGGTGAGACTGGAGAGTACAGGAAGAGCTGGGAGAAAACCAGACGCACCCAGCACAGCATTGTCCTTCTCATCAGCAGTGACATTCTTCCTGTTTACTGAGTATCTGCTATGTGCTAAGGATTGTACAGGGCTCTTTACACATGTACTGTTGTGATGATCCTCCTGGCAACCTTTAGAGATGACGAAGTTGAGATTCCTGGAGCCTAGATCATTTGCCCAAGTCCCCACAGGTAGTAAGATAAGATCTTTCGCCTGCGTTACCCACTGCTTTACCCAAATCCACTCTCTTCATCTCCTCGACCTTGCCTGAGAGCATTTTCTAGCAGTGTCTCCTCTGACGTTCTTCAACCAGTCAGAGCAGGACTATTTTATCTTTGGTGACCAGTTAGTTCCGAAGGGGAGGCTGGCCTTGTTCTTTTGGAGGAATGCAGCTCTTTTTGGTTACTTTTCTCCTCCTTGCATGAGAAAGGCTTTTCCCTAAAAAGACATCCCTCTTACCCACTCCCTTGCTCACCCAGACAGTTGTGTCCATCGTGTGCCAGGTGGAATCCATCATAGCAGGTGCATCTGTAGTTACCAGGGATGTTGACACAGTCATGCACACAGCCTGCATTGTCCTCTCGCTCGCACTCATCCACGTCTGTAGGAAAGGAGAAGCTGAGACAGCTGAACCCATCTGAGTGTCCCCACTGACCATCCCTGGGCTCAGTCTTGTGGTTGTTTTTTTTTTTTTTTTTTTTTTTAATATAACCTTCTCTTGTATGTCTGTGTTTACATCGTTACATTCATAGCCTGCAAACCATTTTGCTAATTTCATCTCAACCTAAGGCATAAGCATTTCACATGTCTCCTTCCCATCTTTCTAATCACTACTGTATACGGTTACAGAATATTCCATTGTGTTGCTGCATCATAACTTCTTAATCATTTTTCTCAATTATTAGGCACTTTTTTTTCATTTATTATACCATCATAAATAATGCATCAAATAACATCTTCACCTATATATTATTTTATTTAAATTTTCTTTGACAAACCCCGAAGAACAAAATCCCTGAGTCAAGAGGTATAAATACCATTTAAGAGTCCTGTTAGGTATAACAAAATTACTGTCAGCCTTTTATGTTCATGGGTCCTATGTCCACAGATTCAATGAAACATGGATCGAAAAAATATTTAAAGAAAAAAGCTACATCTGTACTAAGTATGTAGAGGTTTTTCTTGTTACTGTGTGCTAAATAAGACAACAGAAATGCTATCTACATAGCAGTAACATTGCATTAAATAGTATAAGTAAACTAGCGATGATCTAAAAGTATCCAGGAGGATTATATAGGTTACAAGCGAATACCATGCCATTTGATATAAGGGACAGGAACACCTTAAAATTTTGGTAACCTTGTGGGAGTCCTAGAACCATTCTCCCACAGATATTGAGAGACCACTGTACTTTTCAATTTATAATGCCAGCAGGAATTAACAAATGTTCCTTGTCCTTTCAAGGCTCACCTATACTGAAGGTTGTAAATTTAAAATAATATCCCAAGGCTACTTCAATTTGCATTGCTTTAATTATGGAGAAGATCTGTTTGCAGCATAAATTTCCCGGGGGTACACTGTTGTTTCCACTCTTTGTGGGTCTGGTGTAAGAGTCTAAAGGTGGAGATTCCAGCTCCAGGGAACCACAGTCCCAATCAGTTAAGTGACTGTGAACTATTCCCACTGGAGGCTTAGCTAGTCCACCTAGTGTCTTGGTGCAAATTAGAACACCGTGCCTCCTCTGGGAAGATGCAGCCACCCACCTTTGGCCAGTGGGGATTTCAGGCCTGGGGGTAATGCAATGTGGCCAGCTGAGGGCAATGGCACTGGTTTCTTCTCCCACAGGTCCCCCTTCTCTGATCCATGTCTCACCTTTGCAGTGCTTGCCGTCCCCTGTGTAGCCAGACTTGCAGATGCACTTGTAGGACCGCGGGGTGTTCTGGCAGATAGCGTCGATGTGGCAGTTGTCTGTCCCTTCCACACACTCATCCACATCTGGCAGGGGCAAAGTGGGGCACATGAGACCCTCTGCCAGTGCCTCTCAAGGTGTGTCTTGAAGGTGGGTTTCCCAAGGGTAAAACCCCTCTAAGACAGAACCAGTGCCCCTGCACATGTGTTTTCCCACATCCCTATGATTTCAGACAGGGAAGACTCTAATTTCAGGAATTCAGAAAGAAACCCTACTGCCCTAAAAAAATACCTAATCCACAGTGACAGCTGAATTCTGTCATTTGAAATGCTCTTATTTAAAAACAAATAAAAAACCTTTAGACTGGCTAAATGTATTTAGCACAATTAGAAATAACCTAGTGTGAGTTAGCACCTTTTTTTTAGGAGCAGGTTTAGGGTAAGGGGGAAGATAAAGGCATGGGGACAGTGGTCTCTAGGAAGGTGGCAGTGTCCAGTGGTCACTAGCAATTAGAGGAGGAAGAAAGAAAGATGGGGCATCTGAGGGATCCTCCTCTGCCTCACAACTCTGCTTTAGACCAGGCCGGATCCCACTTGCCCACCATGACAGGAAGGAAAGCCCACCCCAGGAGATTCTGCTTGGCCCCTGTATGGCCAACAGCAGATGAACCAGGAACTGGCAGGGCTGCACCAGGAACCTGAAGCTGCCCTGGTAAGGGCAGCCCTCTTGGCTCTCCAACTGACCCAGGCAGGCCCACACATCCCACTACTGTTAGTTCTCCAAGTCTTCTAACAATAGGCATGACACACAGAGCTTCCTAAAGGAAGAGGCCATTCCAGGTCTGGCAAAAATGAGGATGGTGTGGGCTGGGATTGTGGCTCAGTGGTAGAGCGCTTGCCTAGCATGTGTGTGAGGCACAGGGTTTGATCCTTGGCACTCTGTATATCAATTAATTAAATAAAGGTCCATCAACAACTAAAAAAAAATTTTTTTTTAAATGAGGATGGTTAAGAGAGTACCTAGGAAAGAGCCTATGAGCAAAAGATTCTAACTTCCAGGGCAATATCATGATGCCTACAAAGCCAAACTGAAATAGGGGAGAATGTTTCATCCTGTTGAAAGTGCTTTGTTGAGCTTGTGAAAGTAAACATACTGAGGGCTGTGGAAGCTCACAGGTGACTCAGATCAGCCAAAAGGACACAGTAACAAGAGGAAGGATGGGGTAGATGCCAGGAGCATTAGAGACAGACGAGGGAGTTCTCGATGCTGGCTGAACATTAGTGTGCATCCCCTAGGAGAAGCCCAAGCCCCTAGAGATTCTAACATGCAGCTAGGGTGAAGAACCTATGTTACATGGAAGATCGAAGATGGAAGAGATTATTTCTACCTGTGAACTAGGAAATAGAAGATAATCGAGAAATAGCAATCTGCCACTAAAAGAGGTAGGATTTGAAACCAATGTAGTCTGACTTCCAGATGTGATCCATGGGCTGTAAAATTGACTGGGTTTCGTTAAAATGCAGACTTTCAGGTCTTATCATAGATCTACTGAATCAAAATCCTTAAGGTGCTTGATATATTTTTATTGAATGAATGGACGGGTATATCAGTAACCTCTCTAATTTATAAATAACCAAAAATTCTAACTTTGGTTATTTGCCCTCTGCTCTCACGCTTCACAAAGTACTTATGGGGCAGGTCTGAAGTATCCTGGGGCTAAGGAGAGAAATGAAATATGGAAGAGCACCCAAAACCACCCTGCCTCAAATCCTGTGGGCTTCTCTTCAGCACTGCACTCTGCCCTTCAGTTCTCTTCTACTCCCCTACGGCCATTCACCCTGCCCAGAGATCTACATGCTGGAACTTGTCCAACAAGTGTGGACTTACTCCCAACCTCAACTGGGCTCTGCAGTCATGGTGTCCACCTGTCAGCCACCCTTGGAAGTCATCCCAAAGTGGAAGAATGGAGGAGAGTTCTTAAGTGCGTAAAAGAAGGACCCTGCAGATGGCAAGCGGTTGTGTGGAGAATCAGTTTGTCCAACTGCTGAAGACACAACAGAACCAAGAAATGTACTCTCACAGAAAGATCCTAAGCACCAGGGCCAGTCCGTCCCAGATTAAAATCCAGCTCTACCACTCTCCAGCGAGGCCTTTCTTAGTTTTAGTTTGGTCTCCCCTTTAAAATGGAGAGGATGATACCTCCTTGGGAGAGATTGTGAGCAGTTAATGAGAATAGTTTGGGTAAAGTGCTTAATAAAGTGTCTGGTAACAGGAGGGTCCTGATATAAGAAGCCTGAGATGGAAAGCATGAAGTCACTGGTTCAGACAACAGATGCTAGAGGACTGTGCTGTCCACTGTGACAGCCACTAGCCACACGTGGCTATATAAATTTCTTTGTTTGTTCTTTTGGTGCTGGGGATTGAACCCAGGGACGCTTTACCACTGAGCCACATCCCAGCCCCTTTTACTTTTTATTTTGAGAAAGGGTCTCACTAAGTTGCCTAGGGCCTAAGTTGCCCACAATGGCCTTAAACTTGTGATCCTCCTGCCTCAGCCTCTTGAGGTCCTGGGATTACAGATGTGTGCCCCTGTGTCTTATGAATTTAAGTTAATTTAAAATTCAGCTCCTCAGGTGCACTAGCCACAAGCCAAACGCTCAATAGCCACATGTGGCCAGTGGCTCCCATCGTGATAGCACTAATTTGAAACCTTTCTAACGCTGCAGAAAGTTCTATTGCACAGCCCTGTCCTAAGGGTTCTGAATAAGGGCTACCTTTGACCTAGCTCAGAGACATGGGGACTGGAAACCCCTCCTCTGTGGCCATCTCAGACGTGCCTGTCTGTATCAGCTAGTGGCTCAGTAGGGCCTGCTCTCTGGTTCTTCTTTGCCTCCTGTTCAGGGCTTACCTGCACTGGAGGGGGCCAGGAAGCAGGACACAGCAAACCCATGCCTCCCGGCACAGCCTTCAGACCCTTCCAATGGTGGGCTTTTCTGGCCATCTTAACCCTTCTCCTTCATCTCCCTGCTCATAACACTAACACCTCTCCGGCAGAGTCTGTTCTAGAAGACTTTACTCCTGCCCCATTCCCTCCACAACCCCTAAACCTTCTCCCACCCCCACACATTTCACACATCTCATTCTTGACACATTGAGATGCACCTCTGTCTTTCGCCTTCCACACACACTGCCCTCAGCTTTCCAATTCTAGCTCAAAGTTGTTTTCCCCAAGCTCCTCCTGGTGAGCCCTGCTCCTGGGAGTCCTAGTCCTGGGGTATCCGGCTTCCCTCCATTCATTGGCAACACTCCTCAATTGTTCTGCTAATACTTTGAAGCTCATCATCGCAACAGGTTCCACTTTCCTCACTTGACTAGGCACCCGCTGAAGAAGGGACACTTTATTTTTTATTTGGTTTGAGGAAGGGACACTTTAATGGTGTGATTGGAATGCTTTGAAGCACAACAGGCCTAGGCAGAGCTGTGAAGCAAAGCCCTAAATCCCACTAAGCATCTCCTCCTTTTGCCGGTTCCTTCTTCCAGAGCTCCGTCCCACCACACCTGCTGACCCTGAATTTGTCCTTTCAGGGATCCCTGGGGCACTCATGGGCAGTCTCATCTTAGCCTGTTCTCTCAGGGCACAGGTGTTTAATAGCTAGTCAACCAGCTGATGCCACTGGGCACGGATTGGTTTAGACCAGTGGTTCTCAACCCTAGCTGCAAACTGGAATCCCTGGGGACCTTTGAAAAAATGTGAGTGTCCAGGTGCCCCCTAGACCTACAAAATCAAGACTTCCAGGGTGAGCTTGGGGCTACTGTTGATCCTTTTTTTTTCCAACTCAGGTAATATAACTAAACTTAAGTTGGGAAAAGACTTTGGGGTACCAACATGAAAGAGTGGTTAAGAGAAGGGGTTCTGGAGTGACACTGTGTCAGTTCAAAAGCCAGCTCAACTTGTGTCTGTGCCTCTGAACTTAGTGTTCCCTCCTCTGTAAATGGGAATAATAATCATCATCGTAGTACCTCCCATAGGGCTGCCAAGAGCAGCAAATGAGGTAACACACTTCAAGTATTTAACCTCACAATATGGGCATACAATAAGTGTTCAATAATAGTTTGCTGTTACTATTCCTTCTTTCCAGCTTTCTCCCTGGTGTCCTGATTACATATTGCTGGCTTTGCATTGAACTACACTCCTTGAGGCCACGGCTTCTGAATCTTTGAAATCCATGCTGCAGCTAGAATAGAGTTGAACATCTGCATTCAACCAATAGTTAGGGAGCACCTGCAACATGCCAAGCACTGGGCCAGGTAGGGAGATTCAGCAGTGAGCCAAGAAAACTTATGATACATTCCCAGCACTTCATCAACGTCTGTTAAACATGGGGGTGGGTATGTGGATAAGATCCATATCTGTGGCATTCCCTCTGCTCTGAGATACCTCAAAGAAATTTTGTTTCTTTACTCTCCTTTGACCCCACAGTGTTTTGGGTGAAGGAGGCAATCTCAGGAAGTTAATCTTAAGAAAAAGGATCTAGGGCTGGGCACAGTGGCACGTTTGTAATCTCAGACACTCGGGAGGCTGAGGCAGGAGGATTGCAAGTATGAGGCCATCCTCAGCAAATTAGTAAGGCCCTAAGCAACTTAATGAGATCCTGTCTCAAAATAAAAAATAAAAATGTGTGGGGATGTAGCTCAGTGGTAAAGCACCCCTGGGTTTGATACCCAGTACCAAAAAAGAAAAAAAAAGCAAGGATGGGGCTGGGGTGGTGGCTCAGCAGTAGAGCGCTCACCTAGCACGTGCGAGGCCCTGGGTTCGATCCTCAGCACCACATAAAAATAAATAAGTAAAATAAAGCTATTGTGTCCAACTATAACCAAAATATTTTTTAAAAAAGAAAGCAAGGAAACAAATAGGAAAGAGAAGAAAAGGAAGGCAGAAAACTCAACAAGGGACAGTATTCCCTTAAAGGCATCCATCTGATGAATGCTGTGGCCATAAGAGCCTAGGGACAATGAATGATAGGATCTCCAGCTGGTCAAACGTCATCTGGGGAAGCTGTGGGCATCTCTTATGAAACAAATGGAC